CCTGTGCGCCAGAGGCAGTGAGAGAAAACCTCACAGGACCGGCAGGCGCCCTGCTGAAGTCACAGGAGGAAAACAGCCTGCCATCTGGGACTTTCTCTCTGCTTGGTGACTGTGGGCAGGTCCCTTCCCCTCCTAGCCTCCAGGGTCTCTTGGCTGTGCTAGGAGGGGGTGTGAGGGCTGATTGCTCCAGAACCCACCCAGATCTGAATTCTGTGACTCTGTGGGACTTCCCCTCGTAGGGCCTGGCAGGAAGAGGAAGGGGCTGAGGTGTCCCACCCAGATCCCCAAAGGAGCCCCCTCCTCCTCTTCCCCTTAGCTCTGGTCCCACTGCTATTTTGAGCACAGACCATAAGGAGCTTCTCCATCAGTCCCGCCAGCGTTGGGACTCCAGGTAAAAACACAGCGGTCTCATTCATTCTGCTCCAGCAAGAACACATGAGGAGCTTATAGACAAGTCACCTGACCAGACAACCTCTCCCCGCGCCATCAGCCAGGCTGATTTCACTATTTCCATTACAGCCCAAAGCGGTGACTTAACGCTTCCTCAGGACAACATGGTGGCTTGCTGAGTGGAACGGCAAGAACTGCTCTAAGACCATCTGTGTCTCCTCCCCTCCCCAACCGGGCAGAATCTTCAAAAGACACCAACTATGTACTCTTGGCCAAATTCTAGCCCCTCTCTTGGTCTCGATTTCTACAAACCGGCTTGTTAATTCATTGATCTCAGTGGGGAACGAGAGGCCTTTTAACTTCACATTCAAAGAATCTACAGTTCTATCCAAATTCCAGTCACTCATAAAACGAAGGCTATATTCTCCGCTTTGAAGTAGGTGCTGGGCTGTATTCCCACAGCCCATTTGGTTATGAGTGTCAGAACGCTTTTTCCCATTGAAAACTGTTTTAAGTGGTGGTCAGCGTCCTAGGCCGCCCTTTCTGTTCTTCTACCCAAACCCAAACCAAACAAACAGAAAACTATATTACTACAATAGAATTAAGTCAAAATGGAAAACCACTAACATTTAAAAGACATCTTTTGGAAAAAAAAAAAATTGATCTTGAGTGGTGGTTTCTGAGCCCAAGAAGATACACGTCAAAGACAATGAAGAAGTCAACAGCAACTTCTGGGGAAA